GTACTTAACAACAACAACATATACTTCTAGCCAAACTATATGAAAATTTATTCATCTTCCTCCACAGCCTATTGTTTAAAACCCTTCAAATCAATTGATTTTTCGACATTTTTTAAAAACATGACAGGTTATTTTTCTTTATATTGCTTAGATTAGTGTATTGACTGTTACTGTTTGCATACTTCTTTTCTAAATGTTCTCCCAGTATGCTGCTATCTTTAGGTATTGTTTGTATGGAACAAAACATAGTTGATATTGTAAAATCCACAGTTGCAGTAACATTTCTTTATACAAAAGCATATTAAAAAAATCTTCTGCTGTTGTGACGTTATAGCTGAACTATGAAGTAGTCATTATGTCCACACTGGATTTTTTACTTTTGGGTTGTCCAGTCCAGTTCTGTCCATGTGAAAGATTACCATCTTATAATTGAGGTGGTAACAAATACGCCACTAAAGATTCAAAAGTTATGATTTCTCTTTAGAGGTCCTTAATTGGGGCAGTGAACAATTGGGCCATGCTTTACACTGTTGTTGCACATGAGACCTCTTTGGATTGAATGAAATTGTTGTGATTCCCCCCACTGAGCTCACAGCCAGTCTCAATGGGCCCATTCGAAAGTCTGACAATGGGAATCTGAATTCCGCATGTAAGAACACATCCATGAAACAGCACCTCAGGGATGCAAAATTACAGTTACTCCATCTTGCATTTTTCTCAAATCACTGATAAGGCAGAAAGCCACACTGTTTAAGCAGCAAAAATACCTGTTTATAAATTAGAATGTTAGAGAGCTTTTTGGCTGTGTTGTATGATGTCTTGAAATTCAAGTGGAAAAAAGTTTATCTCCAAATATTCCTGTCTTTACAGAAGAAGTGACAGTGCAAATTTAAATGTATTATGCATCTAAATTATCAGGTTTTTAGTATATAAAAATTAAGTTATTTCAACACATGCATGCCTCCTCCCCTACTAGAGTGTACCAATTTAGAGATCTTAGAGAAAGCCTGACAATCTCTTCCTCTTTTACAGCTAAAGAGGGAATTTCAGTTTCCCAGATTATAAGCCTTGTATTATATCTTTTCTAACGTGTGTGCATCTTGTTTGTGGTTTATATTTTATTGTACTTATGTCCATGGGATTAATGACAGTATCGCTTATAAGTAAGTATATATGGATGATTTTCTAGTTGTCAGACACTGAAATTCTGTAATATTCTTTTGTTCTATACTGCATTTGTTTCAATGACAGGGCTATAATAATTAGCTTAAAAGTTGAGCAGTCAGAGTAATGCCTAAAATTCAAAATCCTCATCCTTCTGACAGCTTCGTGCTTGGAGGTATTTTACTACTAGATGTTGGACTTCTATACGTCACTGAAAGAATAAATTGCTAATTTTTCAGACAAAAAAGTAATCTATCTTCTAATTTACCTTATAGTTGTTGTTGTTGTTAAGTGCCGTCGAGTCCATTCCGACCCATAGCGACCCTGTACAGGGTTTCCAAGGCTGTAAATCTTTACCGGAGGAGAAAGCCTCATCTTTCTCCTGTGAAGCGACTGGTCGTTTTGAACTGCTGACCTTAAGATTCACAGCCCGATTCATAACCACTACACTACCAGAGCTCCTTTTACCTTTTAAATCCCTTTTATGGTGGTGGTGGTGATGTTCTGTAGAGTCAGTTCTGACTCATATAGACCCTGCATAGGGTTTCCCAGGCTATATAAATCTTTACGGGAGCAGAAAGCTTCATCTGTCTCCTGCAGAATGGCTGGTAGTTTCAAACTGCTGACCTTGAGGTTAGCAGCCCAACTCATAACCACTATGCTATCAGAGATACTTATATCCCTATATAGAATTGAAATATTTACTTTTAAATACATAGGAAAAGTTGTAAGAAAGACGTATGTTGAATGAAACTAAAATTATTTTCAGTGTTGATCTTAATTTTCCTTCTAATAAGAAGGGAATATTTTAGAATAATGAAATTTCAGGTTGTGTTAAGATGCTGGGCTTTCTTATGTTTCCTTAGATAATTGGGTAAAATATTGAAGACTAGAAAGCTATTAACAGCTACCCCATTAATCTTAATATTGAAAAGGGAAAACAAGTAGAATAAATGCTGAGGTTTCTTTGTTTTTTGTTTTTTAACTAGCTATCAAAGTATGGTGTAAATTGGTGGATTGGACTTCAAGAAGACAGAGCCAATGATGAATTTCGGTATGAAACTGGATTCATTTGCATTTAATTTTGTTTGACAGGTTTTATTTGCAGAATGTTTGGACTAGATCTTAGTGATCAATTTGTTGAATAGCTTTCAAGCATCATCTTTAATGTATAATTTTCTTTTTCCTAATCAAAGACAATAAAATATTTATCATGCCTTCAGTCCACACCCCAGAACTACAGAAATGGTGTTGGAAACTGAACATGCAGAATGAGAGACCATACGATTTTTAATTTTCCTACAGCTGGAAAGATGGAACACCACTAATATACCAGAACTGGGACAAACAAAGAGAGACGTCTGTGAATCACCGGAACCAGAGATGTGGCTTCATTTCTTCCACAACAGGTCATCTTATTTATCTCTTTTGGAAGTTTTAATACAAACTCATCATTTCCAGGAGTTTTGAAGACTTCTTTGTGTTAGTTCAGCAAGAAATGTTTTATTTGGTTATTTTCCTTTTCAGGTGAATATGTTCTATTTCATCAGTCTTAGGCCTCAGAATGACCGTTCCTTCTATTTGATCCATATACCCATGTTCTTGAAAAGAATTCACTTCTGGATAAGTCCTTCAGCATGAGCCAAGATTGCACCAAAAATGGGCCCATTTAAATTGTTCAAAAAACAAAGCCTGGCAAATGCTAATCTCTATAAAATTTCAGTTTGGCGCCCTTTTTGTTCCTAGTTTTTAGATTATAATTGGCCAGAACCTTACCATCTGTGAAATTTACTTCCATTTCCCCATTTTATTAATATTTTTTATTTAACTCAGTATTCTTTTGTTTTTGTTTTAAATACCTGGCATTAAATGTTGTATGCCTAAGAACAGCAACACTATGTAAATTGGTTTCTGTTGAGGGCTTATTTTTTTCTATTTGTCGGGACAGTATTGTTTTGGTTGCATTGCCTACTCATACTTACCTCCATATTTCTAGCTATCAAAGACAATAATGTCCCCTAGCCTTAACAGATTCCTAACTAACCTTGTACCTTAAGTCAGGAAAGGGTTATCCATGGAACACAATCCTTGGTGTCAGGACCTCCACGGAGAAGGTTAGTTAAGGAAAAGCCTTGTGGTTAATCATCTCGCTTTTGCCAGCAGGTGTCACAACAGCCTACAGAAAGGACTGCTTTGTGAGGCAGGGAGAACAGTTAATCTGCATTGAAAAACAGCATTCAACCCTTCTTCAAAATGCCAACATCCTTTTGGCTCCTATTCCTGAAACTAAAAATCTGAACCTGTCTTTGCAGTTTGCATGCTATCTTTGCCCTATTCTAGAATGTATAACTTGAATGTTAATGACATGTATTTCATAATCCTTGTTCTGAAAATATAGGTCAGCTCATTTCCAGGAGTCTGAGGTCTTTAGGATATATTTTACTAAGGGCGTGCTTGAGATGTACAGTGTTGAGATGTACTTCTTTCTTAGAAGTCCCTGAGCTGATGCTTCTAAATTATTATATTTTTCAAAGAATTATAAGGTGGAAATGATCATCTTTTGTTTTAAAATCTATTTTTCTCTACATTGAACCTGAATATTTTAACACAAAGCATTCTTTTGGTACCCACATCAAATATTGAGACTTTCATCAGCTGTTGTTGTTAAGTGCTGTTGAGTCAATTCCAACTCACAGTGACCCTGTATGTTCAAGGAGCAACTTGTGGGTTCTATTTCAGTCGCAGTATTTGTTTAATTGGATTATATACAAATTTGCATTTGTTAAATTATGACAGCCTTGAATTAGAACGATTGCTTGAGTGTGTTGCCCACTTAGCTGTTGTCACTGAAGAACTCTATGATCTGTACTTAAATTTAATTCTGTCTCTGTTGTTGTGTGCTATCAATTTGATTCCAGCTCCAAGTGACTCTATATGACTGAGTAGAAGTGTCCATAGAGTTTCCTAGGATATAATCTTTTATGGGAGCACATCACCAGGTCTTTTCTTTTGTGGAATGCCTGGTGGGTTTGAACTGCCAATTTTTTGGTTGGCAGTCATTTGCTTAATCACTTGCACCACCAGGACTCCTTAGTTGTTTCTAGAGGTTAAAAAGATTCTGACAGACTATGTTATTGTTGTAAAGTGCTGTCGAGTCGTTTTTGACCCATAGCGACCCTGTATAGGGTTTCCAAGGAGTAGCTGGTGAACTTGAACCACCGACCTAGTGGTTGAAACTGACTTTGCAGCCCAGCGCATTAACCCACAGTGCCACACCAGGACTCCTTGACAAACTATGTTGTTTTTGTTGTTGTTAAATGCCGTCAAGTCAATTCCGACCCATAGAGACCCTGTATAGGCTTTCCAAGGAGCAGCTGGTAAGCTTGAACCACCGACCTTGCAGTTCAAACGGCTTTGCCGTCTGGCGTATTAACCCACAGTGCCACACCAGGACTCCTTGACAAACTATGGTGGTGGTTATATGCCGTGTAGTCGGTTGCGACCCCTAGCGACCCTGTACAGGGTTTCCGAGGCTGTAAAGCTTTACGGGAGCAGAAAGCCTCATCTTTCTCCTGCGAAACAGCTGGTAGTTTCGAACTGCTGACTCTGCGGTTCGCAGCCCGATTCGTAACCACTACACTACCAGAGCTAGGAACGTTAAAAATAATGATCAATAAAGCATGCCTACAATGAGTATCCATTGTCTCCACAGTGTTTCTCAACTGTTTTCTCCTCCAGGACTCTGGGGTAGTGAAGAGTGTACCATTTCTATGCCTAGCATATGTAAGCGAAAAAAGTTTTGGGTCATAGAGAAAGAGAAAGAGAAAGATCAACCAAAACGACATGGATCGTGTCCTAAAGGATGGCTGTATTTCAACTACAAGGTAAATGTGTTTTCAAAAGTCGCCTTTAGTCATCTATAAAAGGAGGGGAGGAGGCTAAGGGTACACAGGTCATAAGGCTCTTGTTATTGTTGTTGTTCAGTGTCATTGAGTCAGTTCCATCTCATAGTGACCGACCCTGCATAGGGTTTCCAAGGAGCAGCTTGTATGCTTGTATGTTTGAACCAGCAACCTTCTGGTTAGCAACCAGTGCTTGTTATACAGCACCACACCAAAGCTATTATTAGGAGAATTTATTTATCCAATCAACAAATATTTACTGGGACCATACTCTTTGACAGTAGACATGTTCTAGGGAGGAGGAGGTAGACAATAAGCAAACAGCAAGAAGGAAAAAAAAAAAAAAAAATATATATAATTTTATATATATATATATATATATGAATATAACATGCAAAACCAAAGTTACGTTTGTTTTCCTTTGTAGATGCTAAGTTGGAAATAATTCTTTTTAAAAACTGAGATTGGCTTTTAAAAATAATGAGTTGCAATAGGACCTGTAAATTTGCTGTGACAAATTTTAAGAGATTTGAAAATTTTTTGATGTAGGAACAAGCCTCTTAGAATAAAGTATTTTGTCAGAAACAACCTCGACACCATCCCTCAGCCTTTATCTGCTCAGGTTTTACTACAGGCAGAGCCATTCACTGCTTTTGTACTTTTTTCTCATGAGGTGGTTTATGCGTGTATATGTGTAGAGCTGTCCCAAGTAAACTGAAACTTCCATGGATCCAAGACTCCATCTCTTTTGTGTCTTCCTTGCCTGAAGCCAGAGTAGCACTCTGCTCTCAGTGTCAGCTGATGGATGAGCTGTTAAGTTAGCTCAATGTTTTGGGCTTTTTTTTTTTTTTGGTCTCATTCCTATACATATGACTTTTCTTTTTTTTAACTTTTTATTGTGATGTGAATGAAGGTTTACAAAGAAAACTGGTGTTCCATTCTATAACTCATACACATTTAATTCATGACAATACAATGATACTCTTCCCATCTCCTTCCAGTGAGTATTGTTTTCATTCCTCCTTCTTTCCTTCATTCCTACCTTCTGAGATTTATCCCAAGGCAAGCACTGCCCTTTGGATTTTGTGTGGCTGATAGTTCTAAGGAGTGTGTATCTCCTTGGTGTTATTGTTCACCCTTTAGGCCTATCTGTTGTTGGAGTGAAAGTTGAGCCTTGGGAGTAAGTTCATTTCTAGACCTTAAGAGTGACCAAAGGCTTGGGGACTTCCAACAGTTTCTGTTAGACCAGCAAGTCTGGTGTTTTTTATTATTTTGAGTTGGGTTCCACGTTTTCCTCCCTCTCTATCTAGGATGATTTACTGTGATCCCTTTAGGGAGGTCAGCAATTGTATCCAGGCACAATCTAGTTCTTCTGGTCTTAGGGTGATGGACACTGAGCTTCTCATAGCCCATTAGTCCTTTTGACTCGTTGTTTCTATGAGTCTTTAATTTTCTTCACTCTTCATTGTTCCAGACAGGAAGAGACCAATAGTAGTATCTTAGATGGCTGCTTGAAAGCTTTTAAGACCCTATCACTACTCACGAAAGTAGAATGTAGAACGTTGTCTTTGTGAACTGTGCTGTGCCAAGTGACCTTGATGCCTCCCAGTCCCGGCCCACACCCTACGTTCCATGACTGTGATCTCAAGCCTCCATGGCCAGTGACTCAGTCTCTCTTGATATTTGGTTATGGCTAAGAAGTTAATAAACAAGGGTATGTTTTATGGAAATATCGTCTGCCAAACCTACATGTGTTCATGAGGACAATCCTTGTCACCTACTCATACCAGTTCTTTGTCTTGCCTGTCTTCCTGTGTATCTACTTATAACTTGTTGTTTGTTATTTCTGATAATCTAGGATTGTGCATGTCTCTAACTCTGATGTACTTCTCCAAGTCTTCCTTTTCTTTTGTAATATTGTGTTTGTCTCATTCAAGGTCATCTTGAACCTCATAATGCTGATACTTCCATGCAGAATTGAATAAAAATGTATTACTGTGGGGATATTGTAAACCATAATTATTATTTCGGATTCTGACTTTAACTGAGGCCTAGATTTTTCCTCCTCTCCCTATGTTTTATAATAAAATAACTATAGGCCTTAGGTGGACATAATTAAAATGAATTCTAATTAAAGTCATTTAACACCTCATTCTTTTGCTAATTAAAAAAACAAAACAAAATGTGCCATAATTTGGTATGCTAATATGAAATTATTCTTCCATAGTGGACAACCAATTTTCAATCTCAGGGTTTGGTTATTTTGGTTATTTGGTCTTGCTTTTATTGTCATGCTTTAAAATGGGGTCCTTTGGATTTGCCTCACATTTGTTGTAAACTCATTGCATTATTTGGCACTGCTTCTCCTGAGTGATTTCATAGATAGTCCTCATTTTATAAAAAGTTTTAAACATACAGTTACTATCCCTGTGTTAGGTATGAGAAGACTGAGATGAAAAAAACATGTGATTTTTCTGAAGTTTCACAGTGAATAAGTGCCAGACTGGGATTCAAACTCAGGTTTCCTACCCCTGAGTCTAGTGATCTTGCCCCTATTCTATGGTTGACGGTTTGTATAAAAACATAAGAACTGCCATACAACCAGTGATACTTTCTAGAAAACATATAGTTGTTCTCTTAACAGTTTAATATAATGTCGATATTCACTAGTTGTTTTTTTTTTTTGGTGGCAAATGATTTATTGACAAGGAAACAACAGTGCCTGTTATACACTTAACCAGATTATTATGCTATGTTACCCTATGCACTGTATAGGGTCATCATAGTTGGAACCGACTCAATGACACTTAACACACACACATACATAGGGTTTCCAAGGAGTG